AATTAAGGGTTACGATAAACGCATAATTGTTGTGTAATTTTCCCTTAAATGTCTCCACTTGATTTAAGAGCGATTTAAATATTATTGGTTCTAGTAGGCGTTTCTATTGCATGCACGAAGCTATCATCACACAAGTTCGGTCGCCGCAAACATGAGGACTCATCCCACGTTGGCTTGACCGAAACTTGGTCGTGCACGTGGCCACTGAAATTGTCAATTACTGAGTTATTGCAGAGGAGCAAAAAAACTACAGTGCTTAAATCCTAAGGGATGCTGATGTTCTATTACAAGTGTTAGCCATAGCCTAGAAATTACTGCAGGTGTGAAAGGCCGCTTGCTCCTCTGGCACTGCGAGTAATGAAGACCGGTCAAATAACGCCCTGCTCAGAAATAAACTGCACCAAAGTTTCGCATAATGCTATCAAACAATAAAAACGAAAGAATTTTAATGAACGAATTTCAGTCATTTATTTGAGACACGTACAAAAAAATACATGTTCCTGCTATGTGAATACTCCACACTCCACAGGGTTTATTTTCGTCCACCATCCTCCCGCTTCTAGAGATGTGCCATGATACGAATGCAGGAAAGGTTTGGAGCCTCAGAGTTCACCACATTTAAGTAAATTATTTCCAAATAAAGCTCTATATTGTACCGCAAAATGGAAAAATAAACTTAGGGTATGCATCTGGAAGTCAAATTCTGACAAATACTTTAAACTGGGTTACGTAGGGCGTAATATTTAACATACTTTGCCTTTTTTATGGGTTGGTAACTTAATAACGCGGATTGTACAAGTCGAAAGCATATTTCATAATATCTCATATCAATCCATAATGTTGCAAGATGAAATTTAGTCGTGGTCCTGCTGGCGGGTAACTAGGCGAGATAAGAGTACATCAAATTGAATGCCAAGTTTTTCTCTGCATAAAAAAGTTCCTAAAATACTTTTTGCCTAAAATTCTGTAAATGACTTAGGGTTTTGAGAATATGAAAGATATCATAAAAAGACCTAACAAATGGTATACAAATAAAGTGATGCTTTAATCCTCAGCAAGTTTCCGCCAAAAAATTAAAGGTTTTTCATAAATTTTTAAAAGTTTTTTTTGAATTGCAATGATTGTTGATAAATGGTTGCACAACTATTTACAGTCTGTGATTCAAATCTTGTTTCAATTGATAGGGCACCCGCAGTTATTATTTCCGTCTAGTCCTGCAGCCGTGTGTATGATGCGGTTACGGCTTAGCGATGACTAGTGCTGTTCACGATTATACATACTCTGTTCAAGTTAAGAGTCGCTTTGACTTGTTTGCAAAAGATGACTACAATGGTGAGGACCCAGATGTCCTTTTGACGAGGCTTCGGACTCAGAAGCGCGAAAGAAAGTCGTCTGCGAAGGAGGGTGGGTGTGTTTCTTAACCTTATTTCCGGTCCCATCGCAGCTTCCGAAAAAGCCTCTCAAGATGTTCTCGAGCCTATCCAGAAGGAGACTCAAGCTCCCCGCAATGATCGCCGTGGAGCTGATCAGAAAGCCTCCCTACGTGATGCCTCTGGTAACATACGAGGTCGCGCCGCCCCTCGTGGTCGCGGTGTTTCCGCGCGCAACAAGGCCCCTAAGTTCGGTGGTCAGCGTGTGTTTGATCGTCACTCTGGGTCCGATAAGACGTAGGTTCTTCTTGACATCTGATGAACTGTTATCCCTGTCTGAGAAGTGAGGATGATACGGAACTGATTTATGATGCATAGACATGTTTCACTTTCTTAAAACCGGGTTTGTTCCTTATTATGGTACTAGCGGTGTCAAGGCAGTTATGAAGAAGGACGGACACGGAACTGGTAACTGGGGCACGTTGGAAGATGAACTTGAAGCTCAGATGGCCGAAGTTGTTCCCGAACCCACTACTGAGGAGGAGGCTCCAGCGGAGGAAGTAAAGTCAGCTGAGTCCACTCCTACTGAGCAGATTCAGGAACCAGTCGACGAACGTCCTAAGACTTTGACATTGAGGGAATATCGTGAGCAACTGAGAGCATCAAAGGCAAAGGTACAGTTGACCACTAAGGGAGAACGCCGTCCAAATGATGGAAAAAACGTATTTTCCGACATGGTGGAAGTTCATAAATCAAAGCCTCTGGAACCGAAGGTTGAGCTGGTTTTAGAAGATAAACCTCAGATTGAGGAAGAGGCTAAAACAGTCGTTTTTGAGTTTGGACGCGGGAGACCTACGCCTCGAGGACGTGCAGGGCGTCCGTTTGGATCTAGTGAATTTCGAGGTCGTGGTTCAGGACCTCGCGCTGATCGGCAGTCGCGGGAAGAACTACAAGCCCAGCCCGCGGAGCAGACAGAACAACAATCGCAAGAGTCGCCCGACAGCAGTGAACCATCTGGACAACCCAGGGAAAGGTCAGCGCCGCGTGGAGGTCGTCGAGGTGAAAGAGTCTTTCGCGGTGGGAGTCGTGGGCGCGGTTTCATACCCCGCGTTGGTTTTAACGCTGAGCGCGGCCGTGGAAGAGGTGGTGGCCCGGGTGGCGATCGTCCGAGTTTCCGTGGCGGTGATCGTCCGAGTTTTCGCGGTGGCGAGAGGGGCGGAGGTCGCGGAATGCGCGGAGGCGGACCGCGTGGCGGAGGGGTTGCAGCTAACGTTGGCGGCGGCGGCGGATTTAGGCGCGGTCGTGGGGCGTTCGACGGTCCTCAAGAGGCTCGTGGAGGTACCAGGGGTGGATTGCGTGCTCCTACAAATACTGCACCCTCGATGGACAGTGATGCGGATTTTCCCGCTCTCAAGTAGAGATCTTTGTGTGTCCACGCTTCAAATGAGATTGAAGTATGAACAGATGTGTATATGAATTGTAACTTTGTTCTGTTGTCTTCTGGTGAGTTTCTCCGTCGTCCACTGTGTATTTCAAGGGTTGCAGAGTCCATGGTGAGGTCGAGTGTTGGTTACTGGGCGAGGGAACGCGTGGGTGGGGGATTTTGCGGTTCCTATTATAGCGGATTTGTAGGTTCGCGACTTGAGAACCCAGCAGTATCGTCCAGGCGGTAGGGCTGGTCTCGTCGAGCGCCTGCTTGTAATCTAGTGGTGGAATGGTACCATAAGTGGGGTCGGGGATTCATGTCAGTGTTTCTCAGACTCCGATTTTTTCTTAACAACATGAATCGCCTGAACCCCTCATTCTCCATTCCTGTGGTTATCGGCTGATGCCTTTTCACCCGCTTGCTTGGGTGGTCATGCATCGATCAGATTATCCATATTCTCCATCACTGGCCGGGAAGATTTATAAAATCGCATTCCACTTTTTCCCAGAGTTTGAGGCGGAGGTTCTCCTTTGCAAGGTGAGTGATACTCAAGGCTACTAGGAAAACAGTGAACAAGAGACGCCCTTTAAAAGTGCAATTTTCTAACTGCAGTTTTTGGCGTAATACTGTGGTCTGCAAGCTCTTCTTGGGGAGTTGCACATTGTTTACGGTCTATCCATTGTTTGCGAGCATGTGATTTACTCAAGCATGCTTTTATTTTTCAGCTTTGAGCTTGCAATAATTTATGCCTTTACTACAACAATTAAATTCTAAATGATACAATTGTGGGCACAGAAAGATCCGTTAGTACAGCAGGTCTAGCCAAGGTGGGTCTGATGCGCCTTCTCATGTGTGCTTTGGTTGGCGCATGGATTCGCAAA